CCCTCCACGTCCGAGTTTGTCGGCAGGGCCTCCAGTGAGCAAACGCCCCGGTGTGGGTGTAGAGAAACTGAGAGTATAAAATGTAAACTTACCCGTCAACGTGCTAAGACAGTCCGTCATCATTTCAAACGCAGCTTGAACATAGCACGGCCAAAGCTGCCTTGGCACACTAGCATGGCACATTTGCATGTTGATGGTGTTCAGTCTAGCTCGCGCTGCTGCTGCTACTACTGCAGCTACTGCGACTACGACTTCGACTACCACTTCGTCTTAGGCTTCGATGTTGATTCGGACTACGACGACCCTGCGACGAAGACGACTTCGAGTGCGACTGCGACGACGACGAGGGCTGGTGGTGGTGCTGCTGCTGCTGCTGCTGCTACGACCTATCCTACTACTATTACGACGACGACAACAACGACTATGAGGACGACGAGGCCAACAACGACTACTGTACTAGTGCTGCCACTACTACCACTACCACTACTGTCGACAACGACGACGACTAGTGTTACTATCTTTCTCCTCCTGCTGCGCAACGAGCACTAGGATTTTATCATGAATATGTAGTGAAGCTCCTGTCAGCTCGGCATAACATGGGATGGTCAGCCTTTGTTGGGCTTTGTCGCATCAGTTCAACATTCAGAGGGGAGGTATTCGACCACTACACCTGATTGCCGTAGTGTTTCGAGGACCAAGGCATCATCGCAACTGCCAAGCATTTTGCGTTCAATGAGCAGGCCGGAGGTGTTGCGAATCTTCTTTGCCCACCAAGGCGTAGTACTGTGCCGCAACATTAGTTGTTGGTGCTACTGCCATGCAAGCAGGAGACGAATCGAATGAGTATGGATGCCCGAGTGAGCGACTCTTTTTTTGCAAATGCTGCATGTGCTTGACCTGTCGCCAAAACATTGCCAAAACAGAACGGGCAGGGTAAGGGGAAGTTTCTCTGATTAGTCGGTTCGTTGCGTACCTTCTGCATTAAACTGCTTGAAGATTCGGTGTCGTGAACTTGGTCTGAAATTAGGGACGGTGCTGGTCCTTGCGCGGCAGTGTGGGTTATCTAAGGAACGCAGCCAGGAGGAGCTGTATTACTTACCATTCAGGCCGGATCATGGCACTCTGCCAGCGCCGAGCAAGTCCTGTCGAATCGGCCTACAACGAATGATGGGCCGACAGGGCAGCAGCAGAAGCTGGGATTGGCGCCGTGATGTGTGCGTACAACAAGGCTAGGGGCTTGAAGTTGAACGGCTGTGAATGGCTGTGAATGCTTGGTAATTTTGTTTGTGGCTTGGATTGCCGCCGTGCTGTAGGCTATGTAGGACTGAGCATGCGGAGCCATGGCAGCTATTTGGATGGTCAGCACTTGGAGAAAGTAATACACACGCATTAGCCCTGACTGTTTGTGCCTGACTCTGCGTTGCTTGACATGCATCACCTGCTCCCCTACGCGAATACGTGAGTGTCTGCATTCCGTTGTCGTAAGCATGTGCAGCACGTGCCATACAGGTGAACGGAACATATGCTTGCCAGAATTCCGAAATCCTGACTGCTGCCCGTGGCCAAGCCAAGCATCTGATATAGACTCAGCACGTGCGCATGCTTGGACGTGGTGACTCAAGAAAGAATCCGTCACCAAGGATCTGCGCGGGAAAATGGGCTTTTCTGGATTTGTCATGTCTGACTGGACTGCAATGCACACGAAGGATCACAGATGTGTAGCGGGCTTCAACTTTCCCAGTCAAGCTTCGGTGTGCATGCAAGAACACATTCTGGCCAGGATGCTCTGCAAGCAGGACTGGATCAAGAGCAGCCCGGCATGATCAAGAAGGCGGCATCTCCACCTGATGTGCGCAAAAGCGCTTTGGCTGTGTTGCTGACGGAGGTGCCGGTGGTGGGCGAAGTGGGTGTGCTTGCGGATTCCGTGATCAAGACTTTGGACGCATGGCGTTTTCTGTCCAAGCCCACGCCAGGCTCCGAAACCCGTCACTTTCCCGACCCCTCGCCCAGGATAGGTCAGTGGTGGAGAATGCAGCTGTCCATGTCCTCACAGCCATCTTCCGTTTACGACTTGATCAAGACATGGGATGCACGCCTCCGAATTGCACGCAGGCGTTTCTTTCTCAACCTTTCACCGCCTGGCACGCGCCCCGAGTACCTCGGAGGAGTTGATGTCTGACCAGACGAAAGCAACGACGCGCGGCGAGCGCCACGAGGACATCGCTCTCCGTGCTGCGACGTCCAGGCCTCAGGCCAGGATCACGCGGCCACAGAGCAGCGCCACACGGTGTCTGTGTGTGACATGTGGGTGTGTACCTCCCGAGTTCACGGGAGCAGGCCGTCACGCCCATCGCTCCCTTTTGGGTTCAGGATTTTGGCAGTCACACGAGTTGACTGTTTCTCTGGCCCTCATGGCGTGTCAGAGAGATCCAAATTCAATTGGATTTGGGGGTTTGGGGCAGGCCTGCGGCATCCATCCCCATGCAGTCCCGTGTGCAACGAAGCTACGGTTGTGGATGCGATATCCAGCCTGATCAGCTGAATGCAGGGGTGCGCGATGGCGCGCGGAAGTGGATCTAAACAGAAAAGGATGGGTCCAGATTAGCTGATTATTCCCGTTCAATTTTGTGAATATTTTGTGCCATCAACTAATGGTTCACTCCCAACGGAGAGTGTGTCGGTGGGGGCTCATGTTGTAGTGAAATGCTGCATGCTTCTAATGCACACATCCAACCGGCTGGCACGCTGACAGCGAAGGTCCTCCATTGTTCTCTTGAAGAATGGAAACAGCCTCTTGCCATTGGACAAGGGCAAAGTTCACAGGAGTGTTCTCTTGGTTTACATTGCTGGCTGCAACCGTCGGCATTGTGACTGGCCACAGGCCTGAAACGATGAACCTGCAGGATCGCAGTCGTTGGGAATGCTTCGGCCGACGAGACGCATCGCACTTTTGTGGGCAAAGGCTGTCAGTCCACCACCTGTCTTGCGCGTGTGTTCTGAGAACCAACAGTCAAAACTGTTTGCAGAGTTGTGGTTCAGTTTTGCTTAGCGAAGTCGTGGCGCACCTGAGCACCGGAGGCTCTGGCTTTGTACAACCAGATTCGTCTGCGAAAACACCGCTGCAAGCTATCGAGGACTCAGCTGTTGTCAAAACCAGTGGAGCCATCTTTAACCTGCCAAGACCATGAAACTGTCAGGAGAAAGCCGCCAAGGCAGGGATGCAGGTCCTCAAACCCGAGGGTGCCAGCGTGGAGGAGGCACCAAACCTCGTTGCGATTTCATCGAGGAATTTTCGGATTTTTGTGCAATGGTAAAGCTGTGGCTGTCAGATCAGTATTTCAGTATTTATTTGCAGAAATTTTACTTGAGTTTCGGTTCGCTGGATGCCAACACGGCTGCTGGCTGCCAACACGGTTGCTGCCAGTGTGATTCCTGTGCCCGAGCGAGGGGTTTGGCACCCAAAGAATCGGGGTAGCAAACAGCGGGCATTCCTGGTAGCACTCTCCTTTGTCGTGAGAGGGCAGCCGAACAGACAGCACACACTGTTTTTGGTTGGCCGGTGTGCGCGCAACTGTAGCGAGCGCTGCCACTGCGCATCTCCGCATGATGCAAAAGCCGGTCATTGCTTCTGCTCCAGCTTCGGCCAGCAAGGTCATGCGAACTTGTTTGCCATGCTTGCACGGAATCCTTACGACATCGTATGAAACCAGCAGGGCTTGGCGGACAACACGGGGCATGGCATCAGCACTGGAGTGCAGCGTATCTATGCTGAATTGCTTTCAGCTTCGCTACGAACGCAAGCAGCCAAGTAGAACGTCGACCGGTCGCCATACCCTTGAGCTGGCGTTCCAGATCTGCTTAAACTCAGCCTACTTGCTTCGCTCAGGCGGCCTCTCTCGCTCAATCAGTCGATGTCGTGGTGGTCGTGGTTGGTACAGAGACTTGGCCCACATGGATCCAGTTGAGTCCTTTTCTGGCCCTTGCTGCCTAAGGATGCATCAGAGGGAGTTGACAGTGCTGGCCTCATTTTTTCTCTCGGTTTTGGGTTGGACCCGGAGTAATGCACAGTTTTGCAACGATAAAGCACATGTCCTGGACAGGAAGCTCGCTCGGGGTGGGAGATACCAGCCGCGTACCTGCACTGCCCGCGCCTGCAGACTGAAGCTGAAGAATCCCTGCTCCCCAGAGGCGAAGCCATGATCAAAGCCGTGGCCGCTCATGTGCCAACGATTGTTCTTCTGCAGATTCCTGGAGCCGCTGGACTCCCAGACGCCGTGTGCTGGGGCTGGTTGCAAAGCAGAGGCATATGCATGATCTTTCATCCTGTGCAGTCATCTCGGCCTTGATGCCGTTCAGACCAAGCGTGGCATCAGCTGCAAGATGCTGAACGCCATCGACAGACGGCAGGGTTCACTGCATCTGTGCTAAGAACACATGAACAAGAGTTGTACGCTTTCTCTTTGCGGATATTAACAAGTAAGTCTCGTGATCCTCGTGCTTGATGAACTGCTCCACTCGGCACTTGTGCCATATGGAGCGACATGCCGGGTTGGTGCGCATCGGCGAGGGGTGGAGAAGCCACGAATGCTGCGGGTGGCCTGGCTCACAGTGGCATTATTCAAATCATTACCTTCGCAACCTGCAAGCCTGCAGGGGTCCAGCTAGCATACCTCATGCTTTGCTGACGTGTAGTATGTCTGAAGTTGTGAGGCAGTGCTCGCTCCCGGATTGGCCTTGAGATCCTTGCTGGCATCAGTTGCTGCCCTGCCACTCTCGAAAGCTGTTGTAACTGCAAGCTGTCGCCTGTCGCCTTTCGAGCAAAGGCCACAGTTGGCCAAGCTGTCCTGCCGGCTCCGGGCTCATGCCAGGTGGCTGGAAGCATGTTGAAACGCATGTGGAAGCCTTCTGCGATCTTGTCCTCTGAGCCTGTGGAGAGAATCTTCCACGGCAAAGCACAGGAACCAGCACCTGTGCTCCCTGCCCTGCTGGTACATGGAGTCCTCCGAGCAGTGCCAACTGCAGTACATGCAATCCAGGGCGATGGAGTGCCCAGGAGACGAGGGAACGATAGCGGATAGCAAGCCCCCACAAGCCCCTTGCAGATGCAGTCGCGCTCGCGCTCGCGCATTCAGTGGAGATACTGTAGTCGGCGCTCTCTTGCTTCGGTTATTCCTGTTCGAGCTAGAGCGAGGAGGGTGCAGCAGAAGAAGATGACTCTTGGCACAGCAGCTTTCGCGTGACGTTCGACATAACTGGGCTTACGATTGCCGCTTGCAGCCACGTCATTCATTGGCATGCACAAGGTTTGCGAGCCATGCGCTAGAGGCCTTCCGGGTTCGATGGAGGGCGTGCCAGAGCATGAGAATTGCATGAGAGACCATGTCTAGTCTCTAGTCATGTCTTGCCTGTGGAGCAGAGCGGAGCAGAGGGACATGGGAGGCAAGTGGAGCAGCCAGCATGGTGCTGTCCTTGAGGCTACCGGCATGACCTAACAGACTCAGAGCACTTCTCAAACTGCGTTTCTAGTGGTTGCTGTCGCCTGCATGCGCTCCCTGCAGGCTGCATGTCAAGACTGTCCGCACGGGCGTTGGAGTGGTGCGCTGGCAGCGAGTTCCTTCTCAGACTGCCAGCTTTGCCCGGCTGGAAGGCCGGAGATGCTCGGAAGGTCTTCTTTTTCATCCCGAGGAAATGCCGTGAGCAGCTTCGCAGGTGGAGCCATACATGGGGCAGCACCAATAGCTCCGTCTGTACCCTTTGTCCGGCAGGAACGCTGCCTGTCAGCAGAATGCTAGGTAATCGCAGGCTCAATCAGCCTCCAGCGCGCAATTCTCATCTTGACCCTATACCTGCCCAGCATTTTCAATCATGCGGGCCGTTCATGCTGGCTCCTTGCATCGTTAAGTGAAGGTATGGGCCACACCAGGGACAATTTCAACAGAATGCTTGCCGTCGTTGTCCGGCTGGCAGATGGAGATCAGAACCAGGCCATGCAATTTAACAGTCAGGTTCTGCACAATCAGAACCAGTCCATGCAATTTAAAAGTCAGGTTCTGCACGTTCCCTCAACTCATGATCCAAGTCTTCCTGAGGTGGGTCTTCAATTGAGAAGTGCAGCCGCTGCCCAGTGGGTACGTGGAGCAATGTCTTTGGAGCAAGCGTGCTTCTGCTCGAATGAATGTTTTTGGGCCACTCCACCACCACTACGGACCACGTCTCTGGAAATCCTCCCTACGCCACGGTAACAAGGCACTCGACAGGCTTGCAAGTACATTTACATGGCCATGCCGATGTAATACTAAGTTATATGAAAGGAGTGTTTTACGTATATTTTCGTTGCCATCAATGTCGGTGGAGACGCCTTTATATGTTTGTTGTTGTCTGTGTGTTTTGGGTCGGGTTGGGGGTGGGGTCGGGGGTGTGTGGGGGGGGGGGGGGGGGGNNTTCATGCACGTCTCTTGACAAGACAGCTACCTGAACCTACCCACAATTCAAAAGCGTCTACTTACCCATTTACCAAATGCCACAACTCTTTACGTGCATTTGGGCTTCGACGCCATATGATATACAGGGGAAACCGAACTCTAGCCTGCACAACAAAATCTTGATTGGAAAGGTATAACAACATGTAACAAAGTAAAACACACAAATTATGACAAAATGTACTAGTATTTAAAATGCGGGATGTATATTGTAATGATGCTACTACACATCCACAAATAATGACATTTATATAACTAACATGTAACACACACACACACATATGGGGGCTGTCCTAAAACCGC